TGCTTTACAGCATGTGATACATCCTCATGAATATTTAACACAATCTCATGAATATTCAACAGAACCTCATGAATATTCAACAGAACATGAATATTTAACACAATCTCATGAATATTCAACAGAACCTCATGAATATTTAACACGATCTCATGAATATTGATATAACCTAATGAGTATGCAATACAACATGAATATTCAACAGAACCTCATGAATATTTAACAGAACCTCATGAATATTTAACAGAACCTCATGAATATTTAACAGAACCTCATGAATATTCAACAGAACCTTATAAATATTTAACACAGCCTGAATGTTGAAAACAACCTTGTGAATTTTTTACACATCTTATGAATATTTATTATACATTTGAACATAATCATTTTATTTTAAGATTTAAGCAAATTAGCATGAAAATGCCAAAGTATAAATCTGATTTGTTGCTACTTTCAATTTGTTTTATGTGTAAAATAACTGGGAGTTTATTTGCCTGAGTTGTGTCAGTTATAATTAATTGTGATAGTCACATGTTCTAAAAGCATACATATGATTGGATGATACTGGCTTACCTTCTTTGCATCTTTAATGGAATGTAATGTATTCATATAGACATCACCAAGTAGAATTAATCCTTTAGAGTGGTTGGGATGAAGCTGAAATCAACAAAATCCGATGTAAATGTGAAAATCTTACTTTGTGATATAATACAAAACATTTACCCTTTGAGCACCATAATTTTACCCTCCAAATTTCTGATGTAACATTTTATAAATTTTTGTGTATTTTTCTAATAATTTTTTAGCGGCGTACTGGCTGAGTGTACTGTGAGGTATCCTCGTAATAACCTTATTATTATACATCAATATACACCAAGGATACACCACCATGGGAATGCCAAAATCAGAATCAGCAAACTTCTTTGTGTGGAGTCCAGTCAAACCCTGGTGGCAGCCATGTTCGTTTTTATTATTGGAGGACGCTTACGTGTGTAAAAATTACATATTTGGAATTTGCATTTCCTTATATGTTAGGATGAAAATATCTCGTAAAATACCACAAAAGTACGGCACGCTGTAACATATGGCATTGCAATGACATATGTATAACAATTAACAATATGTCAGCAGATATTATGATTGTGACTCGAGTAGCAAAATCCCACTCTATGGCTTGGATTGATAGAAAACTCGGGTGATAATCAAGGGATTATTATACTACACTGTACAGCTCCCATGTATTCGAACGCATCATACTAAGATGGTCAAAATGACAGAAATCCATACAGTATTATGACAACTGTACTTACTTGTAGCAGTTTTTCAAGGTACGGTAAACTTTCCATATCTCGTTTTTGCTGCGACAACATCAACGCTTGATTGAACAAGGCACTTCGAAAATCTTCTTTATACTGCAAAATAAACATAGTTAAACAATTATAGCCTTGCTCATGTATGTTACTGTAAAATATTTTCGCTGGGATTAATTTTTGCTGCAAAGACATTTCAGCTGTTTTTACTGATTCATTATTTTGATGAAAAAAACAAATATAAAAATTAAGAGAAAATAATACAATAAATTATAGGTCAGTTTATTTTGGCTATTTCGAAATGAGAATTAGACTGAATACATTTGTACTGCAGTTTTCCTTGTTGCATCCGTGACAATATAAACCGTGTTTCCACTACTGATATATAAATGAACAAAAAAACATAACTTCGATGTTTGATTTTGGTGTAGTAAGTCTTCTACAGTTTACCACCAAAGGTGGTTATTAAATACTTGTTAATAAATATCCCAGAACATCGGGACAAAGGGACAAATTTGTTACAAGACCATGAATCTATGAATTTAAAACTTAACAATGGGTATTTTCACTACTGTAGTATCCAATATCATAAAAATACTACCCTGGGATACACAGCATCACATGTGAACATAGCTTTTATACTACACAAACTTCAGGGTGAGTCCAAATCTAAGTAAAGTAAGTTCCAAATTAGGGAATTTTTTTAAAAATATCATTCAGTATATCTTTTTTTTCATATATATTGTTTTATTTTATTTGAAAAAAATGTCATAGCTAGGATCTTATTTTAATCATATTGGGCGAGGGCATAGTGTTCTGTCATAATAGAGTACCCTTATTTTAATATACTGGACCCCTTTGTAAACTCACCGTTTCACAGTCCCGCTGGGTTTTACAAAATATAATTTTCCCAGACTACCCAAGATTTTTAAATAAAAACACTTTGAAAAAAGAATCTTCATGATATAATTGTGTAAGACTTACCTCAATGGCTTTATCAAACCATTTTTTAGCATTATCAATCTCTTTGGCATCTGTAGCTAACATGCCAAGGTTGAAATAAACTTTCTCATTCACAAAATCCAAATTTATCAAATGTTTTAATCTGTAATATAAGGTAGGCATTAAGACTTTCAGCATCTTGTCAATTATACATGCATGCTTAAAAAAAGTCATGTTCATTTTGAAACAACATACAGAGCTGCAAGCCTTGGAAAATCAGAATTAGTACTCAGCACCTACTAAATTTGTATTTTCAATCCAAAATTCGTATTTTTTAAAGTTGCCGTGTTTTACCTTTATAAAGACCTGATCATGTGTTATCGCAGCACTAATGCATACTATAGGGTGAGTTAAGGTAAATGTTGTCTCTAAACAATACATCAAACTGTACGGGTTAATTACAATGCATTGATTTAATTAATAAATGAACAAGAAACAAAGAAATTTGAATTTTTGCAAAATTAAATTTTAAGATGATGGTATTCGAAAGAGGTGATTAGCAATTTTTAAAAGATAAAATAGGTCTTGAAAGAAGAGTTTTTACATGATTCGCGATGATAACAGTTCAAATGTATTTTACCCAATCACCATAGTGCTCTAATGTTATTGATTAAAGTAAGTTTTGACACAGTAACTTTGATTCAGATAAACAGGTAGGGACTGACGAAAACAAATTGGTCTCATAATGATTATCTTGGATCAAATCTAAAAAAAATTAAATTCATATCTTTTGGTATAGTGTCTGAGTACTAGCCTTTCAAGCATTTCAAAAATTGTAATTATTCATCATTTTTTTGCCCTTGAGAAAAATGACCACCAGTCGGCCAACAATCAAATCCAAAACAAATTACAACATGGGCAAATATATATATTGCCATCCAGCCAAGTTGTATTCACTGGGAACCGTTTATTTTGGGTTTAAATTTCTGATTGAACGAGTTGTTTTTTACTTTTCCCCTTTGAGTCTTTGAATCTTGAGTAATTTTATGTTCCACAACAGGTACAATTACGCCTTTTCTAAAAAGTTTGGTCAAAGACTCAAATTTATTTTGGTTCTTATTTGACTTTGTATAGCAATGAGCAATCTATTTGCAAATACAAAACAATTCCAAAGACTTTTATGAAACTGTATCAAACAACCTTAACACCAAAAACCTGTCTAAATCTGAGTGTTCCAATATATACCAGATACACGAATCAAATGAATAATGTGAAAAGTTT